TATGAGGCAGATCAAGAAGACCACGGAAAGATAATGTCCAGACAGTCCTGCAAACACTTGGTGTCACGAACTGGAAAGATAAGGCCATCCAGGGAGATGAATGGTGGCGGGTGATATCTGCAGCAATGACCCTTAAGGGCTCGGAATGCTGAAGAAGAAGGCCAACGAGAGAGATGAATGGTAGCGGGTGATATCTGCAGCAATGAACCTCAAGGGCTCGGAATGCTGAAGAAGAAGAAGAAGAAATACACGACTAGAACAGATACTGGAATTCAAAGACTGAAAGACTAATTCAACTAATCCAGGCTAGTTTTGTCAGACATGAATGGATTGCAACACTGAGCACTTAGCGAAGGGCTGTCCTAACCTTCATCTTTGTGCCAGGTCATGGGTTTGTTCAAGGGAACGAGCGTGGAGATTATCTTGCCGACACTGCAGTTGCTATGACTGGTCCAGTACTAGACAGAAGCGATGTTATCAATGCCATGCGCAGAACTTACCGTACCGAGGAGCACTTCAAAGGACATGACCCTCTTTTCTCTAGGCTGAAAGACATGGGGCTGCGAGAAATGAATATTTCGCTAAGAGGACTAGACGTTTCGTTATTCAACACAGAACATATGTCATTAGTCGTTTTACACTTATGGAGCTATTTAAGGAGGAGATCGAAGCACCTGTTGATCTGTCCAGAGGGCTGAGATGAAAATTCTTACTATTCACTAATAACTAGTTTTTCCTTTGGCTGTTCCAACAGGCATAATCTTGTTTTGTTTCTTGTTGATTTTTTTTTTAATTTTGACTGGCATGTTCACTTGTATCAATGTTTGTGTTTTCTTACGTTTAGCTTTCTTGCCATAGTATGTGTTGTTCATATTGATTTCCTTATGAACAAAAGAGGAGCATCAGAACTTTGGGGTGTGGTGGGGAAGGAAAAATGGGGGGGGGGGAATTTTTTTTTTTTTTAGCAACCCTCCTCAAATATTTTATGGGCGGTCTCAGTCTCCACCCTTTCAATTTTTAAGAGTCGAGAGCACTACGATGCGACCCCCCCCCCCCCCAGCCCAAATAAAAAAACATGTATAGTTCTTTTGTAAGTAAAAAAGTAAAGGTCCCTTTTGCACGCCTTTAGGCGAATTGGGCATATAGGGCTAGACCTGTATTTTTATAGACCAATCGACCAGCTGTTGGTGGTTTGGAAGCAGACCGCCTTGTGTTGTCGACAGTGGTATCGAGAGCTGGCCGTTAGGAAAGCAGTGACGAACTAGTGAACGTAAAACTGTCTAGAACCGTGGTTTTCACCCTTCCTAATGCCGCATCCCTTTATTACAGTTCCTCATGTTGTGGCGACGCCCCAGCCATACAATTGTTTTCGTTGCTACTTCATTTTTTTTTCAACGTATCCAGAAACCATGAGTTGTAAACCCTTTGGCTTGGTACTATGGATATCGCAACCCTTCGGCAGTGATTCCATTTTAGGTACCGTTAATCTGGGAGAAATGTGGCTTTTCTGCCTACCCCCGGGAGTGAACCCGGACCACGAGGAGTTCGTCACCCGGCCGCCGCGAAAGTCAGGTTTAACCAACTTCGCTAGAGAGCCGGGCTTTGCTACTTCATAACTTCCACGATACGCCAGAGTCACCTAAGTGCTGAATCGTTTTTTCCCCCCAGAAAATCGCGTTTTCAGACATAGTTCAGATGAAAACTGAGTAATAAAGTTAAAAGTAATAGCTCGTTTTGACCTGTTTAAAGTAAGAATTCATATGTGTCTGACATGACAAACAACAACCCTGATCAACTAGTTAACTGACGTTCCAACCTCATGGCACAAGGCAAATCCCATGGCTGCTCTGTTTATGTGCCAGCTACAACACCACATAATGTCCCTCGCTGCCATTTTGTTTAATACGCCCCAATCTCCAATAGAATATACACGTATTAAAAGTCGTCGTCAGAAGAGTTACTAGTCGTCAGAAGTGCCAATACAAACAGTCCGCCACTAGAGTTGCAGGTCATATTCATCTAAGTAGTAATTACAACAGATCGACAGTTGTGCACGTAATGGTGCATAAAGCATCGATAGTTCTGTGGGAACAGACCTCTCCCCATGTTCTTAATTTGCAGTTCACAGTACAAACCTGCAATGGCTGTTCTTATTTCACTCTGGCTCCAGTCACTTGCAGACTCCTCTTTCACGCACCGACACCAACACCACTAGTAAAATGGACGACATTGAACGACACAATACGGTTTCACACTTTATTCTCCGCTCGCTGTTTCTTCAGCCGGTTCATGGTGAAGGACATGTCTAGGTAACAAACGTTTACTCAAATATACAAAGATACTGATCGACTTTACCTTTAAGCCGAAATTGCAGCGGTCCTCACACAATAATGATGAAACAAAAACAACTGGTTTTCCATGACGGTGACGAACACAATCAGCTGGCAATGACTCAGACGATTTCCGCCTGTCCTCGTTGCCTGGCCAGGTAGGGCGCCAAAACTCTACGAATACATTCAGACGTAAACACAGACTTCTCCGCTCTATATGCATACAGTTTCTTGGCGCAAACGAGACTGTCCACATGCGCTTTCTAAGGCATTATATAATCTTCTACCGCCCACATTCTAATTATGCCCTATGCGACTTTCTCCTGTTCTCTGATTCACACAGGTTTCATTTGTCCAACATTTTTCTCGTGCATCTCGGCTCTGCCCTCGTTACATTTAAATATCTCATTCATTTTTATTAGCTAATGTCATTCCTTCTGGAACATAACTAATCAAAGCGAAAATGGTTCACTGCAAAACCACACTGGAGACAGTTGAAAAGCATTCCAAATGAAATCCGCAGCTCCAAGTGTCGCGCCATGCATTCAGCTCTGTAGCTGGACTACAAAACTATACACTTTCAGTCCGCAAACGAGGGAAAATGCATAGGCTAAAATTAGCTAGAAGGAGCGTGCAGCTTCTTATCTCGGACATGTGAGCACGCACACAACAAACCCCGCGCTGCTAGTTTTCTGCAGTGCTCAGTTCCATATCAGGAACTTTATATGTTTTTTAAGTAACTATGGAAAGGCTGTTGGCATTAGGCTTTAGGATTATATAAAGTACAGTATGTTATCGATAATATCGAAAATAAGGAGTGCTACGTTACCGCAGTGCCTGTACACGAACGGTCCTCTGTTTTGTGCCTACGAGATCAGTTTTAACACAGACATGACATCTTGAGAAATAGTTCGTTTCAAATTGACACAAGCTTGTGTTGTTTGTTTTCTATGAACTTAAACATCAGTTATCTCACATAGAAGATTTAGCAGTCATTGATTTGCCGGCAGTGCTACACTGGCACTTTTGATAAAGAAAATAGCTATTTACGTAATGAAACTATGAAAGGTGAGAGCTGGCAACATACAAAGATCAGCAGATTAATAATTTACTGAACCTATATGCAGGTTCATTCGTGTGTTACTGGGGCCCTTGGGGTAAGCAAAGAATAGTTATACAATAAGCTTAAGTATGTCGTAAGGTGTGGGCTGGGATGTTTGTCTAGGAGTTAGTTACCTCACCTCGTAGAAAATACTCCAGCAGCAAACGCCAACAAATTATGAAGTAAAACTATAGAACTTTTGGTATGGTAAAATTATTTTTTTTTTCGTTCACCGACCAAAAGCACCAATGAAAAGTTCTGGTTATTTATACACTTCTGGACTTTAGTCTTATTCCAGAACCCGAGTTGTTCGTGGACATCTATTTCACAGATCAGGTTAAATCATATGCAGACTGTCGGTTCCATGCCTCATAGACAGGTGCACCCCGTCTTTGAAGGAAACCCCCTGATTAGTCGTCTTTTATGACATGCGCATGAGAGAGGGCGGTGCGTCTGTGTGTGTGCGTGCGTGTGCACGTGCGTGCGTGCATGCGTGTGTGTGTTGTTCAACCCCACCAGGACCGTACAACGAGCGATCAACACCTGGTGACACAAAGTGCCACCATTCGGATGAGGATCAACCGGGCACAAGTCCCAGAAACCTAGTTTCACGGTTAGGTTAGATTGGGGCCCCCGACTATAGCCGAGTCGGGGCTTTAAAATAAACTGAAAAATTGCGTCCAATACTGGGAAAGGATTCTGGTTAGTGGATTTGTTCTTTTTTCTCCAATATGGAGCCCGGTAATTAACACTGTAAGTATGGTAAACAAATTGTAAATATGTTGACTGACAATCGTAGATAAGAAGAAAGCAGAAGAGACAAAAAGACCCTATAGACTGCCTCCCCCACCCCCCGCCCCTTTTCAACAACAAAAAAACCTGCGAATTAATGCCTCTATACGACTTTTGCGGTGTAGACATGGAGGTCTTTGAGTCTTAGGATTTACAGCCGCATGGCTAGTGCTGTCGTCACGATTGTACAGGTGAAGATTTTCTTTTGCCCCTGATAGAAAAAGATCCTAAGCCTTACCGAGGATTCGAACCGGGGTCTCCCTCGTGAGAGCCACTATAGACTACAGATCAAAAACAAGGTTGTAGTTACTTCATCAGGGATTGAATCTATTCCCCTGGAGATGATGACGGCGGCTCGCTACGTATGGCCAACTAGATGCCCCTAGAAAATGTTTACTATTACACACTTAAACTAAAAACTATGAAGTATGGCAAGAATTAAGCACCGAACCATTCTTATAGCTGACATACGTATTATCCAAGCAAAGAATAACAATAGACACATAAAGACATGCGACCGACCGTTGTGCTGTATGATTCCTCCTCAAAGTGTTTTCATCGACTACAGAGTTAACCAGGATGAGGGTAGGGTTTTCACCGAGGAGAGCCTCGGATACGGAGCAAGAAACAATGAGTTTGTATTTCTGGTTTACCTTGTGAAATCATGGGTTCAGGTCTTGATAGGGTCGGCCTCTTTCTTTTCAGAAATGATCATGGCTTCCAGGTTGACCCAGCCTTAAATGAGTACCAGGTACTGTCTTGGGAAGTAAAGGCGGCCGGCGACCACAGAGTTCTGATTGGTCTATAAAATATAGGTCCTGCCCTATATGTCCAATACGCATGAAGAAGGGGAAATGTGTCCTTTACTTTTACTTACTTACCTTCCTAAATTAGGAATAGTATTTAAGAATAGTGTTCTAATTTGGAAAGTAATGAGTTAATGGGCGAGATAGCAAACGATGTGACCTAATTGGCTGCATCCATGTGGCTACAACTATCGCAACTATGATAGTAGATGGATGTCTCATGAAATTACACAAATGCCGGGAGGAAGTCGAGTTTTAATTTACTGAGACTAGCAGATGTTTCAGGTCTGTTTATTTAAAAAAGACACAGTAAAACACCGTCGACATAACAAAAACAAATACTGGACTCGATAAAGAGTCACAAGCTTAGTGTTTGGAAAATATCTCAATTTTAAGCACTGTTTTCCCGTTGTAAATTTGAACAAACATGATACAACAAAAGATTTGTGCAGACAAAATGACATGGTCGTGAATCTGCGTTTACTCTGATAAAACAGACAAAACTAATTTTACGTGTGGTTGATAGTGTATTTCTCTTGGGGGTGCAGATGTGCTGAGCCATACGTGTTGGTGCGCCAGGGCTGAACCTGGTCGACCAATCTATACCTCGCCACGGTCATCCTGGAAGCATGTTCCCAGCCCGGACCTTGGCCAAAGACGATAGGGTCGATGTTTCCTTGGAGATTTTGAGTATATTTGCCTTAGATACAAGGAATGAAAAGTCTGCATACAAATAAATCAGATATGTAAAACGAATGTCCACGCAACACTAAAGTCCTGGAATAAGACTGAGGTCCAGAAATGGATGAATAGCTAGGACTTTCGGCGCCATTTGTGTATAATTTATTTATCGGCTTAATTGCATTCATCGTTATCCTAATGAATAACCCGACGAGATACAACGAAACAGGACAGGTAGTAAATAGTCTTGCTGTTGTTTTCTTTAATCAAATCTCTAAACATTTTCAAGCCTACTCATAGAACAACCCGACACTTATCTGACTTTAAAAAAAGTGTTGGGGCAACCACTCGTAACAACAGTTAAATGACAAAGAGAGTGGCTTGGCGCTTGACTTCTATACGACCACATCTGGTCAGCTTCGAGATTTCGTAAGGAATTCCTAGGGATCCCTAGGGGTTTCCCTGTACATTACCATAATAATTAGGGCTAGTGTTAAATAAATAGCGACTACTACTAAGCCTAACCGTAACCCCCTCCCTCCCCACCCCTGCCATACTGTAGGACGTTCTGGGGATTTCCCTATCTAATTTCGAAGCCGACGAGATGTGGTCGTATAACATTAAAGTACCAGTGGCTTTATACTGGACACATTCTGGGAAGAAACCAGAAGAGAATCACAAGAGAGGCACTAAAATGTGGGGGTGAAACGAGATTGAGAGAGCGTGGACGCCCCCAAAAAACCTAAAATGAACTTTAATGAGAGAAGACAAAGGTGCGGGACTGCATTCCATCCAAGATATTGAATTAATTACACCGGACATAAATTAATGGGAAATAGACTGTGATGCCTATGTGACACATAGCTGCACAACAGGACAATGAGCATGATAAATCTTGCTTCCAGTTCATAAGATCCGATTTTTTCCCCCTCACTGATTGAATAAGAGTCCATGACTCACTCACGCTGCCCTTACAAATGGAGGATAGTTGGATCAATGTCGTGCTTGAGTTTAGCAGGTGACTGACGTCGCTTACCGCTGCTGTTGCTAGCCCCAGGGTCTCCAGTAGTTCAATGTCCTAATGGGTCTGTATGGTCTCAAGGCATGGTGTCCGCCTCGAGTGCTAGAGGTTCCTGGTGCAATCCTCGGTAAGAGCTGGGATTTGTTTCACCTGGACTTGGACTTCTAGTAATATCCCGTTGGTCTATGGGTATTGAGATCGGAAGCCCGTGTGCATTGTTGCGCACGTAAGAAATCCTTGGCAGTTGGAATCCGAAAAGAGTAGACCAACGGTGCTGCTCAGGCGAAAATGTGGAGTTATAAATCTACCCAAAGTATTTCAAGATCCTTGCCGGTGCTACAGAGCCTGTGCACTGCGCTGAGCCACTTCGGACTCAGACTTGAGTTAGAAAAAGAACGGAGCACTTATGGGTTACTACCCGTGTGCCATGATGTTGATCCATTGTTCAAACTTCAAACTTCTTTGTATTAAATAACCACAGCTCTCGCGTTGCACTAATCTATTCTACTCGGTGGCGGTTTGTTTTAATTATCCCTCGCGTCAGACACCAATTGTCTATCCGAGAGATAAACTTTAATAGCTACCAGGAGATGAGAATTTGAATTCAATTGTTCCCGAGAAATGCATTAGGAGGCCTAAAACATTCGTCAACCTGAGTAGTCAAATACTTGTACACGAATTATTATAATTTCCATCCATCTGTAAACGAATTACACACATCCACTCAACGAACCAACTAGTCACACACACACACACAAACACGCGCGCGCACTCTTACAAACACACACACAGAGAGAGAGAGAGAGAGAGAGAGAGAGAGAGAGAGAGAGTGAGAGAGAGAGAGAGAGAGAGAGAGAGAGAGAGAGAGAGAGAGAGACTATTGTTCAACTAATTTATTTACAAATCCCGAAACGATAACAGAAGATATGTAGAGAATGCGATGTTCCCAAAAACCTCTGTCGGTGTCTAGCACAGAACTGGTATTACAATGCACAGCTTCATCCATTAGAGAATCTGACTGGAATATCCCATCTCTCCGTCTTTCGTGTCAACTAACAAGTAGTTTTTGTTCTCAGGTGAACGATTCAACACTTGGCTTGTCCTTGCTGTCAATTTTGTTTCACTTGTATCAAATTGATCCCAACAGTCCTCAGTGGTGAGTACTTATTGTGTTGAATGTTCCTTACTCTGTGTGTATATATGTGTGTGTGGGTGTGTGTGTGTTAGTGTGTGTCTTTTAGTGTGTGTTACAGAGGAGAAGGAACTGAGAGAAAGATAAACACTGCAACAAATGTATCTAAACCGAGTAGTTTTAAAAATATGAATCTTGTAACGATGAGACTAATATTAATACCATGATATATCTACTACAGTAAGTAAAGTAAAGAACCCTTTTCCACTCCTTCAGGCGTATTTGGGCATATAGGGCTAGACCTATATTTTATAGACCAATCAGCACTTGGTCGGCGAGTGACGTAGTCAGAATCATACTGACCGCCTTTACTTCCCCGGATTCTACCTGGAAGTCTACTACAGTAGTAAAAGCTCAAATGAGAAACATTTTTGTCGTCATCCTCCTCCTCTTCTTCTTCTTCCTCTTCTTCTTCTTCTTCTTCTTCTTCTTCTTCTTCTTCTTCTTCTTCTTCTTCTTTTTCTTATTCTTCTGCACCCAAAAGGGCGGTTAGGGCAAGGCATGGTAGTTTACAAGTAGGTTGCTAAATCTGCGCTATTCGGCCTCAGACCTCTGATTTCAACTTTTTAATTGATCCCTTCTACAAAAGGCTTATCAAAGGATAGTTTGTCTATTCTTCTCCAACCTCCAGTGGGTCCCAGGAACCCGTCCCAGCAATTTTAAAAGTATTCAGGATTATAATGTTAAAGCTCGGTAAATCCGTTTGTCATAAACTAACCAGTAGATTAAAGTATCAATTTCAATTCGAGATTCCTTGCCCACCTCGAGCAACATGGTAGACTGCGATAATACTTGGTTTAGCCGCTGCTACAGCTGCTATAACCATGACTTTTTTTTGTTGTTGACAAGGTTTCTTAAAATTGTGCCGGTAGTCACCACCAAGTGTCAGTTACAATAAGTAAAAGAAAAAAAAAGAAAAAGTCAACGACTCTTTTCCAAGCCTTCATGTGTACGGGACATACAGGGCTAGACCTATATTTTATAGACCAATTGGCACTTGGTGGATGATGTGGTCGGCATCAGGCCGGCCGCCTTTACTTCCTACGATCGTACCTTGTACCAACTCAAGGCTGGGGCAGCTTAGGAGCCAAGGCCATTTTTGAAACAAATCCAGCTCTTGTCTACAGTAGTATTGAAAAAACAATTATGCCTAGAAAAAAAGGACTGCCACTTCGTAATGTTGCGTACGATCAGGGAAAAAAAACCATGGCCATAACCATGATTACTTCTTTGGAGGTTGAACGGGGCGACAAAGATTCGTCTTGTTGTAATGCCTTCAAGGATGCAATTCTTTGAGTCGCAGGAGTTTCACACTTCAGGTGGGCATGGCAGAAGGGGAAAACTGTCAGTCGCTGACTTTTTCGTACCCACCAAGAACAGCAGTTAATACTTTTTGCAGCAATTACAGGTGTCCTTATTATAACTTTTTATAAGACTGAAGAGGGTGTCTGGGTTTTTGTCTTTTTTTATTATCAATCACTACATGGCTAAGTGGGTGGGTTTGTTATCAAACATTCGGGTACCAGAGGGAAAAGTCAGAATTGCATTTTCAAATTAGCTTCGGCTTAGTGGCTTATTATGTGACTTCCCAGTCGGCTAGATGGGATCAAGATCTTATGGAAGCTTGTCAACAAGGCTAAGGCGCGAATCAATTATTATGGGGTGAAGATAACAGTACAACTGGGAGGAACCAGGCTGATATGGCTGACACTCTACACTTACAGGAAAAACAAGATGGAGATATAATCAAACTACTACTCAGACACAACTGAAGCAGAGATAAAGGTCGCTCAAGCAAGCAATGGGCAAATGGAATATGTGAGACTGTGAATACCAGCATCTACGAAACACTCGCCAGGGACTCTTCAGATGAAAATGCCTCTTGATGAAAATGCCTCTCCAGATGAAAATGCCTCTCCAGATGAAAATGCCTCTTCAAAATCTGCTGCTGAAATACAAACGATTGTCTACAGAAAAGAAGAAAGAAGATGAAGTAGAGTGCATCAGTAATCAAAGAAAATATATCACAACGTTATGTAAAGAAAGTATTGAATAAGAACTATTAAGACTAACAGGAGAATTATGTGCAGTAAATGAACTAAATAATAATCTCTCCCTTATGGTAATATACATTATTCGTGACCATTAATTTAACACAGTACCGCAGCTGAGTCGCGAAATTTCTGATTGTGTTCGGTATTATGCTAGGTATTGAAACTTAAGTTTATACTGAACAACAGGTTTTAAGAGGTAAAGCACACGTTTCCACACATGTTTAATTTCCTGCTGTTAATTGGCCACTGTGTAAAGTAGACGAGGTAAGATGGATGCGAAAAATACATGATTGATTGTGAGGTGTTTTTTTTTTTTTAAACATGAGCTGAAAAAGCATTTAGAAGAACAGACAAGGCACAGTTGAAACAGAAACTTGTATCTATCAAGCTTGTGTGCTCAGCACTCTTCTTTATTGTAGTGAAAAGGGGTCGACTTATTCATATCAGGAGGAATGGCTAAATGGCTTTCATATGCAATGCCTATGGAGAATACTTGGCATTGAAGGGCAAGACAAGATCACAGATGCTGAGGTGAGAAAAGAACAGGTATCACAGCCGTTTTCTCAGTGCTCAGTCTTCGAAATCAAATGGCTGAGACAAACTTGGAGCATAGAGCATAGAGTCCTCAAAAATATTGTCTATCTGGAATTAACAAAGGAGTTAAAGATGTTGAGGCAGGCTTCTACTGCGATATCAATATGTCCAGGCAGGACATAAATAATACAAATATTGGTGCAGATTCATGAAAACAGACTGCTGTAGATAGTAGCACATGAAGGGGGGAAAAAAGGTAGGTAATGGGGATAAATAAGATGATTGCAGATAGGTTAAGGGCTGGGCATCTAAAAAAAAAGTAGCTGTAAACAGCAACACAGCATGTCAAATGCCTTGTTTTAGGGAGAAAAGAAGAAGAAAAACCTGGCTGAGCCACTAAAAATAACAAACAACAACATAAATTGTATTTGTTGACCTTGCTGGGCTATCTGTTGGCAGCGAGAGCACATGGATCCTGGTAGAGAGACTCACCCAGCAGGCTGTAGAAGGAGTGGTGAAAGCTGACAAACTTCTGGAGGAGGCCAAGGCTCAGAGAAGACTAGTGGATGTATCGGTGCAGACTCAGGTATTTACACTTTCTGGTTATTCTTTGTGCTTTCTGAATTGTCTGCTTATTTAATCATTCCTCTATCCTTCTGCTGTCATAGAGTGGGTTTCAAAGCCTCACTTTTTTTGTGTGGGTATGGGGATACCCACTACCCCTTATGAAGCATGTCGGAAAGGGCGATTAAGTAGGTGTTTGCTGAAATCGGATGTACTCTTGCAATGAAAGGCCCAGATATTGCAGCCTAGCTGTAAACCACAACTCAGTGCAGCAAATGTCCATTTTAGGGATGAATAGGGAAAATGATATTCTACATGTAGCCTTAATTTCAAACCATGTTTTCTTTGAAATCATGAAGTTAGCAAATACTTGAATAAATATAAATAATGGTGTAAGTCTGTATGTTGAACCTTTCAAAATTTTCAAAGCTTCACTAACATGATCAGCTCTAAGTTCTCTGTTTGCCCAGCAAGCATGGAGGCTTCATGCTAATCTATGCACTGACCACAGTTTAACATAATGTTCCTTCTTTTTCTTTTCTTTTTTCATGTTCACTGGCTTTACGTAAACTCAAGCAAAAAGTTCTGCTTGTTTTTCCACTTTGGAATTCAGTTTTGTTCCAGAATTTTTAGTTTTGCATGCACATCGTTTTATATAGGTGGGTTATTTATATGCAGACTCTCGGTTCCCCACCTCACAGGCAGGTGTACTCCGACTTTGAAGATTCCTCCAGTTAGTCGATTGCTATGACATATTTGTTGGGAAGGCTGTGGGACTATTCTGGTTTTCCCCAAAATGTGGTCCCGGAGCCCACTTGGGGAATATTTTCAGCTGAATGAACAACTGCATGTGTAGATGATGGATAACCCACAAGAATTTGGCAACCGTATTTCAGGTGACTAAATCTCTGCCAGAATAAGTGGTCATCTTTACACCCTAGCAGGGCACTCATTTTTTCTGACAGTCAGGAATTATGACAAGGACCACCCATAGAAATGTGGAAGTCAAGGGGAAACCAAATGATCTCTACAGGAGTAAGTTTACAATCATGTCATAGAGTTTAGTGAATGAGTTTAACAATTTCATAGTCCTTGAGTTTAATTTTTGCGGTGGATGAGCATTTTTACAAAAAAAAATTCCTGATGACTTTACAAGAGTCACATTGTGGAAGAGATTATGGCCTCAAATTTAAAAAAAAACAAAAACAGTGTGTACATTGTAGCCAACCTTCATTGTGGAAACAGCACATACTGTTTGTTTAAAGATACGATGTGATAAAAAAAATATATATATGGCTGTTCTATCTATTTGTTTAGGAAAGTAGTCCTATTGGCACCGATGCAACAAAACTTCAGAGAAGATCACTACTTGGCAGTGGGCCAAGACCTGAGTCAACAGTGGCCAAAGCTGGAGCTGCACCTGCTCCACCACCGCCACCTCCTCCTCCTCCACCACCTCCTGGCTGTGGAGCCCCTCCACCCCCACCTCCTCCCCCTGGTCTCCCGCCGCCTGCACCAGGCTTGCCTCCAGGACCAGGTCCACCTCCACCGCCACCAGCTCCTGGTTTGGGAGCACCAGGGGCAGCAGCTCTAGCACCACCAGCCCCTGCAGTGACGCCCATTAAAACACCAGAACCTTCTTGTAAAATGAAACACTTCAGTTGGAATAAAGTGCCGGCTATTCAAGTAAAAAGTAAGTTATACTTGCAGCACCAGTTTCATGAAGATAACCCAACTTAGTGCCGGCTATTCAAGTAAAAAGTAAGTTATACTTGCAGCACCAGTTTCATGAAGATAACCCAACTTACAACTCTCTAGTGATTAAAGTTTAGAAACCAGCAGGGTGTGCACCACGAGTACTGACATTTTTATCTGCAGCGATTTTATATAAAATAAAATGCGATAATGACCTGTCCAGCTTCATTAAATTACAATGACAGATTGCTGAGGCACATACAATTTTTAAAAAGTGCTCACATAACTAATTTATTGTTACTGGAGGTTGGAGAAGAATTCTCAGATGCTATTTTAAGCCAAATTCAACATATGGCGGTGAATCCTGGACAGTTAATAAACAAGCAAAACTATTCCTTGAGGCCTCAGATATGTGATTTTAACAGAAGAATCCTTAGAATTCCTTAGACGAACAAACAAACTTTATTTTCAAAGGGTCACAAACTGGGCACGTAGGTCCATCTTACATTCAGCCCTTCCAGTCAACCATCTTTCCCACAGCAGTTGTATTTTACTAATAAAGCATGTTATGATCCTATGATATGATCATATGATGGCCAAAAAGATCAACCTGGATGTTTTGACAGAGGGGAGGCCTCGAGGAGAACTTATCACAAACATTAGAATGAGATTGTCATCATTTTTGGTCATGTTATGAGAAGAAGGAAACTGGAACATGTTGCGACCACTGGTTATGGAAAGAAAGAAAGAAGAAGACAACATGAGACGATTCTTGACACCTCTTTGTCTTGGCATGGAGGGGTGTCAACACACGAACTGATAAATGCAGTTTAGATCACAGATTGTGGAGTGACATGACTGCCCAAACCATTCTTGCTGATGATGAGGATGTGACATTAGTTATTATGTCTGTCCACAGCTTTCTGTTAATCATTTCTTGTGTACTGTCAATTATTTCTGATATGAATATTTCCCCATGCCTTAATTGTTAGATTGTCTAACATTCTGTCTGTTAGATTTTCTAACATTCTCTCTCTCTCTCTCTCTCTCTCTCTCTCTCTCTCTCTCTCTCTCTCTCTCTCTCTCTCTCTCTCTCTCTCTCTCTCTCTCTCTCTCTCGCTTGCTCTTGGTCTCACCCCTGCTTCTCTTCTTAACATTTCTTTTTGAATGTTGAGTGCTAACTAAGAACCGACATCCCAGCACCAAGGATTTTCCCATAAGTGCTCTGTTCTCATATTCAGCAGGCAGTGAAGAGTTCCAATTTTGATGGTGCCAGCAGCATTGTAATCAAGTCCATCTCGCTTCTCCTCTGAGCTTAATTAGAGTGTTGACCAGATCCCCTGCTCTCTCTAAGCTGTACCAGTCTCTCCTGACCATAATGATTGATTCCTGCCTCTGCATTGTTCACTTGCTTCCAAAGGGCCATGACCACATCTAGCTTGTAATGCTTAACTTCACCACACACTGGTGCAGAATCAGCCAGTCTATCTGCCTGTTCATTTCCTAATCTTGAAAATGTGAAGCCGAATTTCCATTGTCTTCAGCATTTCCTATTTTCATGACATACTTTTCCTCTTCTCTCGACATGTCCGGTGAACATGAGATGTATTTTTTCGATAAGAGTAACCGGTTGATTTGAGAGTTTATTTCTTTTAAGGTATCGTCATTTTGTTCACTTCTGCCTGCTTAGCTTGTCATTTGACCACTGGCTTCAATGTACACTGCAGCCATTTATATTTTTCACACACGCTTATCATAAAATAGCTTTGACCAACAACAACAAAAATGAATGAAACATAAACATTTTACTACATTGTGGCACTATAATGTGAACTGGCTGGATCATTTCTAACACCCTTATGTCCCCAGGCTGCAGAAAAACTATCCAGTGCCTATTTCACAAAAGTGAATTAACCTCAGAGCATTATGACCATTAAAAAAAAATTATACAATAAAAATGGATTTGATCCAAGCCTACCAAATTTATAAGCAAGTAAGCTAAACACTATGCCATCAAAGATCTATAAAAGTTATTTTTGAATATTTTGATGCCCTCTTTAAAATAATCATGAATAATTTATTTATCAGAGAACAGCATCTGGGGAGATGTGAACACAATGGCGGACTCCATCAAAGTTGAGTACAGCAAGCTAGAAGAGCTCTTTGCTCAGAAAGTTGTTAAGGAGGAGGTTAAACCAGAAGAAAAAGTTACACTGAGGATTCAGTCATCTTCTTCCGAGGTGAGTTGTTCATCGTCATGCTGTAGCAGGTTATTGGTTGGAAGTTTCCTGTGTGGGTTCCAGGGTCCCATTTTTGGGGTAACTAGAATAGACCCACTGCTCTTTAACTAGCATGAAATCAGATGTGTGGTGCCAAAGGACACATATATCGCAGCCTAGCTGTAAATTACAGCACAGCCTGCCAGCTGCACTTTTGAGAGCAGATGCAGAAGATGAAGAATTTGTAGAAAGTCACTTCGATCATGGCCAACCAAAATGCTTCTGTCCAATACTAACTCCTCTGGCTTATATAGCATCATCATCATCAGTTCTTTACAGAAAATTGCTCTCATCCTGGCATGCCTGAAAGTTTTTTTGTCTTTTTTTTACCCTAGCCAATTCTCCAGCCCTGTGGGCTTTCATAGCCAATGCATTTTCAGTGTCGTGTATCTTACCTTTGTGGAGGCTGGCCTCTGTCTTATTTTCTAGAAACAGCAACCGCTATCACCATTCTCACCAGGCCACTATGATGCTTAATATGTCCAAAATGCTCCAGCTTTCAAGACAAGATGCTGTTTATAAGCCAATTCGCCTCCATGTTCAGATCTTGTAGGATGTCTGTGTTTTCCGTCTTCTTAGTCCATGGTATTCTAATAATTGTTCTGTAGCATTTCAGTCCAGATTTTTTTTTTCAGATCAAAATTTGAGTTGTGATTTATATCCATAATTGCCAAGGGAAAGGTGCATGTCTCAAAATTACTTACGGTTAAAGTAATGTTTTCTGCCCCAGAATGAGAGTGACTTCCCTTCCAATTTATGCCTTACCCTGTGGCAGGGCTTGTCCTCTGTTGTGGGGATGTCACACTTAGCTGCCAGCGATATCGCCTGTTCTATATTCAATGATGTAAGCACTTTTAACGGCCTCGAAACCACAACCCCTTACACCACAGCTTCAGTCTACGCCCCACGACTGCATGCAGCCTAGGTTTTTTTTTTTAAAGGAAAAAAAAAATAAAGGACCCTCTGCCATATCTTTACGTGTAAGGGCATATAGGGCTAGACCTATATTTTATAGACCAATCAGCACAAGATGGGTGATGTTGTCAGCATCATGCTGGCCACCTTTACTTCCCAGGACTGCACCTGGT